TCATATTGGAATAGGGGCGCACCCTACTCCATACCAATCTCATCTTAACTAATTACATCTGCAATGACCCAGTTTCCACGTAAGACCACATTCATAGGGGATTAAGACATCAACATATGAATTTTGGGAGGACACAGTTCAACCCATAACAGCATATGTGGCTGATCAAGCACCTGAAATGTGGCTGGTTGGAGTTGAAATGTGCTATACTTAAGTGCACACTGGATTTCAAAAACTTGGTACCAAAAAAATGCAAGATAGCTCACTATTACTTACAGATGAGATCATTAATTTATCTCGATTAGTAATTAAGAGAGGTAATTAGACAGGCTTTCTGACCCTGGCTGATTAACAAGGGAAAGAAAGTGCCAGGCTGTTTAAAAAAAAAAAAAAGCACAAAACAGAACAAAGCAAAATGACCAGGCTGTTTCTCTTATCCCGCTGAGGCGGGAAGCCCCATAAAAAGACCTGCAGGACCCCCAGGCAGGGCCACTACTCTCCTGCCAGCACCATCTGGTTCCCTGGCCCAGAGGCTCTATCTCACTTTTTGCCTCTGAAACGGCTTACTTACCCCTAAAATTCTATTGGTTCCCTGAGCTCACTCCTGATTGATTATTTCCTTCACTCCTGATTGATTACCTCCTTCACTCCTGATTGGTTCATTTCCCTAACTTCTGATTGGTCCATTTGTAGTACTTCATTTGCATGGAGCTCACTCCTGGTTGGTTATTTCCCTCACTCCTGATTGGTTATTTCTCTTCCCCCGATTGGTCCATTTCTACAAAACTTGTTCCTAATTAGTCAACTTTCGTTATACATCATTTGCATATGATGTTGCAAAGTGTAAACTGGGAGCCTATAAAACCCGGCGTAAACCCACAGACAGGGTCCAAAGCTTAGAGTGTTAACTGTTTTGGGCCTGTTGGCCTAATAAACCTGAGTTCTCCAATTCTCCTAGTGCTGTTTGGTCTCTTGCCTGGATCCGGGTTGCTGTCACAACTGAGCTGTAACATATGTTTTTCTGCAGCTCGGTAGCTGACCCCTTAATTCCAAGGACATAGTCATACAGCAGGATGATTTAAGTTCCAGAACTGCTGCATTAATTCCGAGGATGTACCCTAGTATCTCTTGCTTTATTCTCTTTCCCGGTGAAGTTTTTGTTTAAAGGCTGAGCTCCGCGATAGGAAAGAAACAGGTGTAGAAGATGCTTGGCACCACCCGAGTGAAGATCACGATGGTAGAGCCTTCCAGTGGAAGACCCTGAGGATGGATCAGGGGCTGGAGCTGTCTAACCGGCTACCTGGCTAATGGCTCCCTACGAGAGTGTTTTCTTTTTTCTCTCTCTCTGAGCAATAAAGCAGCTTTCTTTTTTTTTTTTTTATCACTTTGCCCCTTTCCCATTATTGAGAATTCTGTCTCAGTTGACAGGCAAGGACCTATACGTTTAAAGCAGGGCTTGCCCACAAATTTTGGTGGGCTTTTCAGTTTGGGGGGGTCTCTCTAGCCACTAATATAATCATATTGATCGTATGTTGAAATGATATTTTGGGTCTATTATGTTAAATAAAATATATTATTAAAATTAAAAAATTTCATGTGGCTGCCAGAGAAGTTAAAGTTACCCATGTGGCTCCCATTACCTACCCACTGACAGTGCTGAGCTAATATTTATGAAGCCCTTAGAGCAGGGCCTGGCCCGTAGAAAACACTGGTAAGTGCTGGTTAAATAAAGACTTTTCTTGAAATATGAATTGTTACTTGTGGCATTTAAAAAATATGAGTTTTTCCATTCCTCGAGGACTGAGAAAAGTTGGGGACAAATTTCTATTGCTGTCTGGCCTTTCTTTTATTGAGTGGATTTGGGTTTACATTCTGGAAGCACTTGGCATATGTAATACTGTCTTGTCTCCTCTAACTCGTTTCATGATATTTTTTCCCCCATGTCATCGTAAGCTCCTCATCTACCACATTAAGCACCGTGGTTTCCTGAAAAATTATTTTGTTTTCTTATTAACCACAAACAACTTTAAGCTGAAAATATCTTCTGTTTGTTAGAACTGTTATTGGGCGAAGTGGGAAGCTATCGAAGAATCCTAACGTGTAGTGCCAAGTAGTTTTCCAAAAAAGCTGAATCAGTTTGCAGTCCTGCCAACAACGTATGAATGTCTCCATTTCTCCGACTTATAACTAACTTTATTCTCATTTTTTAAAAAAAGGTTTTGTGTCTGTGTGTGTGTGTGTTTTGTTTTGTTGAAAAAGTGTCTTGTTGCTTGTACACATATTCCTTTGATAACCCTGAGGTTGAGCATTTATCCACCTGGTACTGTCCCTGTGCGTTTTCTCTTCTGATAATTGGTGCTTTGACTCCTTTGCCCATTTCTTTGTGTCTTACTATTTTTCTTATCAGTTTGCATGCCTTCTTGAAGGATATCAATTTTTGTACATTGTCTTTTTCCCCAAATTCACATCAGCCAATACTGACTAACTGCTTAATTCTGTTTCTTGTTTAACAGATTTTTGTATTTATGTATAATCAAATCAACTGATCGCCCTTCATGATTTCTGTCACTGCTTTTAAGTGCAGACCATGCCCTCCCAGCGATGTGGTAGCATCACTTTTACTTTCTTTTAGCCTTTTGTAATTTCTTTCTTTCTTTCCCCTTAAGATTTAAAATCCTTCTAGGACAGTACCATTCAAATGAAATACAATGCAAGCCACAAATGTGAGACACACATGTAATTTTAAATTTCCTGGTAGCCATATTTTTTTTAAAGTGAACAAAAAAATAGGTGGAGCACAGAAGATCTTTAGGATAGTGAAAATATTTAGTGGTGAATTTATGTCATTATATATTTGTTCAGACTCATAGCCTGTACAACACCAAGAGTAAACCTAATGTAAACTACGCACTTTGGGTGATAACAACATGTTAATGTGGGTTTACTGATTGTAACAAATGTACCACTTTGGTGGGGGATGTCTGTAGGCTGCGTCTATGGGGACAGGAGATAATATGAGAGCTCTCTATAACTTCTGCTCAATTTTGCTGTGAATCTAAATCTACCCTAAAAATAAAATTTCTTAATTTAAAAAATTATCAAAAAGTAAAACAAACCGGTGAAGTTAATTTTAACAACATATCTTGTTAACCCAATATATCCAAAAATATTCTTTCAACAAGTAATCAATATAAAAAATTAATGAAACTTTTTTTGGTACTGTCTTCAAAATTTGCTGTGTATTGTACGCTTATATTTCCTCTCCATTCACACTAGTGACATGTTCCCAGTGCTCAGCCATAGGTGGCTCATGGCCACCAGAGTGGTCAGCAGAGGTGTAGAATTTGGTTTGATCCCAAGGGAGAGTAGAAGGTAAAGTTCTGCCCTCTTCACCTTCACCTCCCACCTGCTCCTCTTTCTCGAAAATTCCTGGCCAGCCAGCTTGGGTTTTCTCACCTTCCCCAGGGACCTCTGCCTGGCTCTGGGATGCCATCCTGGACACCTGTGTCAGCCACCCATCACCTTTGGCCTCCCAACCCCTCCAGCACCCGGCCAGGGATTCCATCTGTCCACGCCACCTTCTACTCCCAGCCTTTGGGCTGCGGGTCCTGCCCAGGAGCTCACCACTGGGGCCATCCTTGCATTTCTGCCCCTGCAGCTTGCAGCTCTGGTGACAGCCTCAATAGTAGTAATTATGAAACTTGCCAGGTGTGCGGTGCCAGGTGTGCGGTTCCAGGTGAACTCATGGCACCTCTTTGTATCTAATCCACCGGACCATCTAGGAGGCTGGAACCATTTTGCACATAAGGGCTCTCCTATTGGTTACTGAGCACTCACAGGATCCAGTCTGCGTTCAAGGTCAAAGGAGGGAGGTTGGGGGCCCCTTGGGCAGAAAGGCTTGGAGACCACCTAGAGGGTTGAGCCAGGTTTATTAAAAGTTTGCTCGGAAGGGATCTCGGGTGTGTTCCCTGAATCTTGCCCACGTGTCCTTTATGCCCCCACCCCCCTTGCCTGCCTGGCGGAACCTGTAGGAGCCCCTGGGATGAGGCCAGAGGTGGGAGGGGCGGGGAGGAGGGAGTACCTGCTGCCCTCGACTGGAATCTGTGCTCTGGGATCCCTCTTGGGGCAGGTCACCTCCCTGCCCCGGGCAGGGTGAGTCTTGAAGACTGTGGGAAAAGCCCCCGAGAGAAAGCGAGAAGCGGGCGGGACGGGGCGGGGCGGGGCGGGGCGGGGCGGGACTGGCGCTCTCCAGTCGTGGGGGCGGGACAAACCTCCGACCCGCTGGGCAAAACCAGGCAGCGGCGGCGGGCGGCGAGGCCAGGCGGCGGGAGGACTGACTCGTTCTGGACACTCGCGTCCTGTGGCTCCTGAGCGCTCTCGGGCACCATGAGCGGCCGAGTTGGGGACCTGAGCCCCCAGCAGCAGGAGGCGCTGGCCACGGTGAGGAGCTTGGAGGCCGGGAGGCTTGGGATAGATGGGGGAGGGGGGGCCCTGGAGAGCGCTTCTGTCCAGCCCGCCGGCTCCCACCGGCACGTGCTGAGGCAGACATGTACCCAATACTCGGCGACTCTGGGGCCAAGTCCAGCTTTCCACCTCTGTCGGCTCCTGGCCAGCCAGCCTGGGCCTATGATCACTGGTTATGGGGAGGGTGGTACTGTCATCGGCTTTGGGGCAGCCCTGAGCGGATTCCCAGGTCTCCTGCCCAGATTGCAACATTTGTTTGTTTGGTTTCTCCTTGCGGCTTTCTGACTCACCAGGGGCCCAGCCTTCTCCCTGTGGTTAATGTTTTCATTAAAGGAAAACAGAGGTAGGGTTGTTGATTTCAAGACAGCCCTGCCTCACCTGAAAGTGTCATGACCATGGCGAAGGTCTTAGATGACCCAGCATTAATTCGGTTTTCAGGTGGCCAGGGACTGGAAACTGGCTTCAGGGTTGGTGTGAAGCGAGGGTGGGAGAAGTGTCACAGCCCTGGCAGGCACCATGAGCAAAAAGGCAGTTTCAGACTCATGGAGAATGACTTCTTTTGAGGCTCCTACTTTGGGAGGAGTAGGGACCCCAGGTGAAGGTGTAGGGACCCCAGGTGAACGATAAGGTCCCTGGGTGAATCCCAAGGTAAAGGAGACGGTTCCAGAAACAGAGCATCCTCAGATGAAGGAGAGGTCCTCAGGTGGAAGAGCAGGGGTTGTCCCCTGGTGAACCCTCTCCACTGGAAATGGCCCCAGACACTAGGCTCGTGGGGGAACTGGACACCTGGCCTTTGGGATGAATTATGGTGGAGATGCTCATGGACCAAAGAGCTTTCAACAATGTAAAAGAGTTTATTCTCATTCTTTCCATTCTTTAGAAGAAATGAATGCTTGTTATTTCAAAAATTAAGGAAAAAGAGAAAAGTTGGAAGAAATGGGGAGCAATTACCCGTGATCCTGGCAGTCTAGAAACCATGCCTAAGAGCATTTCCTTCTAGGCCTGTCCTAAGCCTGATTGTCACCACCTGTGGCCACATTCCAGCTGCTGCTTTCTCCATATGGCTTGTTGGCCTGCATCAGATTCACCAGGGATCTTTGTAAAAAATCAGAATGGCACGGTCCTACCTCAGACCTATGGAATGAGGGTCTTGGGGGGCAGAGAACCCCCTGAGTTTGAGAAGGACCGAACTCTTCCTGCTATGGTAGGGGCTGAGGGCTGGCCCCATTCCCAGTTGGCAAAATGGTCCAGGCATTTGCTGCTAAGTCTGCAGCCCCTATCCTGCAGGGTATGTGGGCAGGACTGACTGGTAGACTGAGGGTGGAAAGGGTCTGGGACAAGGCTGGGAATCTAGGGGTCATGGGAGCCCCTCTGACTGTTATATTCCCCCCTCAGTTCCGGGACAACCTTCAGGACCTGCTGCCCACCCTGCCCAAAGCTGATGACTACTTCCTCCTGCGCTGGCTCCGAGGTGAGGCCAGCTGGGATTGGTGGAGGCAGAGACGGTGGGTGGGAGGGAGGGAGGGAGGGTTTCAGGAAAGGGGATGGGAGACTTTGGGGGACAGTGCTGCAGAGTGGTTAAGAACACAGGCTCTGGAATCAGCCCTCTTTGGGCTGGAATCTGAGCTTCCCTCCAAATCAGCATGGCACAAGAAAACCATGGGCCTCAGTTTCTTCATCCATAAAGTGGACATGAGGCCTCCTCCCCAAGGGTGGTTGTGAGTTAAATGAGACCGTGGGCCCAGGGTCAAGTGGGGTTAGAGTTAACACCGGGAAGTTCTCAGGCTGACAGGCCTGGTCAGGCTTGAGTAGGTATCCTTGAACATGGTCTTCAGGATTTGCCTTTGGGTCTGTTTCCAGTTCCTTGAAGACAGGGCTGTGTCATCCCCTTAGGGAACCTGGCACCAAGCAGGTGCCCAGCAAATGCTTCACTAAGTGAATGTAATTAAAAGCAGAGAAAGAATTTCTTCTAGGAATCGCCGCAGCAATGTAGAATAACAGAAAGTACCCCAGGGCTTAGGGAAAAACTCATTTCAACTCAGCACACCCCATGGAATGTATTTTGAACTCGAGCCGGGAAAGAAGTCGGAAGCCAGGCTGGAAAGTGCACACATGGTGTGGTGATAATGCCGGCCTGGGAAGCAGACGAAACAGTGATTGCTAGGAGGGAGCCATGCAAGTTGTTCATTGTCTCTCAGCCTCACTTTCCTCTTTCGTATAATGGGTGTAATGCTGCTCCCTACCTTAAAGATGCTGTCAGAGATGAGGTCATGGGTGTGCACAGCGCCTGCATGGAGGAAGCCCTCTCTTCTGTTCTGTTCTGTTTAGTTGGGGTTTTTTTTAATTATTGTTTTTTACAAACATTATTTTTTAGAACCGTTCTGAAAAGATGTGTAGGAAATTATTGTGAAGATAGATAGTACAGAGATTTCTCATAAACACTGCACGTTAATATTTTGCTTTCTTATGGTACTTTTTTTACAATTAATGAACCATTATTGTTCTGTGATTAGTAACTGAAATCCATGTTTTATTTAGATTTCCTTAGTTTTTCCATGTAGAGACCACGTTTCCATTTAGTTGTCATGGCTCTTTAGGCTCTCTTGGCTGTGGCAGTTTCTAATCCATTTTTAAGAAGTCATTTTCAGGTCATTTTCCCCAACCTGGGCTACAGAAGGAGTTGGGAGAGCAAATTTCTTAAAGCCCCTTGATATGGCATCAGACCTCTCTCCTCCTCTGGAGTCTTTCTGGGTTTAAAAACCAGCTTTTCAGGTGCCTGGTGGGTCTTTGAGAAAGGAGTGAAATCACAGGCACTGTAGGCTGCTGGGTCACGGGAAAGGGAAGGGACCCAAGACTGGGAGAAGGTGCCAGGTATCATGGTGCCTCCCACTTCACGCTGTCACGGATCTGCTGACATGGTCCAGTCCACTTCAACTTCAGCCCTGCAGCCAATCCCTGCCACACAAATGCAAGACACAGGTAAAGGGAAGGCTCCACACTCAGGCCAGATGCAGAGGGGCCTTTCCTGACCTTCCCTCTGAAGTCGATTTCCTTTGTTTTCCTTTATCTCCACCCCACGTCTGTGTCCATCTCTCCTGCTTGGATGCCAGCTTCACGAGGGCAGGGACTGAGCCTGCCCAGGTTCCCAGCCTGCCACATAGTAGGGGCTACTGAAAAAGCTTCGAGGACCCATCAGCAGTGTCCAACCCACTGTCTATAGGACAAGAAATCACATCCCAGTTCTCAGTAGGAAAATCTCCTATAGACACCATAGAGATTTTTCAAAAGCCAATAAAAGAATATCAGGTACAACTATGCACTAACAAATCTGAAAAATCTAAGTAAAATGGATACATTCCAGCAAGAAGAAAAAGCAAGCCTCAATAGATCAATAAATATTAAAGACATTTAAATGATAATGAAAACATCTGCTCACCTCTACCCCAACTCCAATGGCTTTGCAGATGAATTCCTCCAGAGTTTTAAAACCAGCTAATTCCGACTTATCCAAATTGAGTGATTTTCCCATATTCCAAGCTTTGTATTCTATGTCCGGGCTCCCCCTGTGCCATGTGCTCACGGCTCTCGATGTCCCACTACTGCCTATTCAGCACCTCCACTAGGAGGTCTAACAGACCTCTTAAACAAACAAAACAAAACAAAACAAAACAAAACAAAGCAAGTTATTTTAAGATATATGAGAGCATGAAATTTACCTTATGAGGCCTGGGTACGTTTGATTCCAAAGCTAGACCAGGACAATACAAGAAAAGAAAATTCTAGCTTAGTTTCGCTTATTAATATAGGTGCAAATAGCTCCAAATAAAATATTGCATAACAGAATCCAAGAGGGTATTAAAATTGTACAGTAGTATCAAGGAGAATTTAATCTTAGGTATGAAAGAAAAGTTCAGCATCAGGAAACCTACCAGTGTTATCAAACACATTAGTAGAGTCTAAAATGAGAAATTATGTGACCATCTCAATGCAGAAGGAGCATTTGAAAAGGTTCAAATTTTATTTATAGGACAAAACAAGATAAAAGTCTTACCAAACTCGGAATAGAAGAGAATGTCCTTGGCGCGGTTGGGGTCACGTAGCAAAAATCTTACAATAAATGTTATGTTAAGGAGAAATTGTAGATGCATGTTTTAAAGATCTAGGTCAAGGAAAGGATGACATCAATCAACGTTATTGTTTCAGCATAGACCTGGAGACCTTCGCCAATGTTATAAGGGAAGAAAAAAGTAATCAGTGGTAAAAGACCAGAGGGAAGAGTTAACATATTCGCAGAAAAATTAGAAATAGGAAAACTCTAGAACTAAAGAAAAAATTCATCAATATTGGCATTAATTAAAAAATTAATAGCATTTCTCCATGCAACTGTATCCAACTATAAAATATAATGAAAAATCAAATGCCACTCAAAATAGTAACAAAACCCATAAAGTGTCCAGTAATTAAGTTAAAACAGACAAGATCTGTACCGCAAAAAATCTTAACATCTCTGAAGTATTTAGAACTGCATTAGCCACTAGCCAAATGTAACTATTAAAGTTAGAATTAAATTAATTTAAAGCTTCAGGTCCTCAGTCACCCTAGCCCTGTCTCAAAAGCCCAACAGTTATGTGCACTTGAGCAACTCAGATATAGGACATTTCCATCGACACAGAAATGTCTGTTGGACAGCAGTCATACAGAAGATGGTTTTAGTAAATATATACCCCAGAGAAAAGACTGGGCAGGTGATGGCTTGTCTCTAAATATTTGCAGAGTGGCCATGTTGACAAGTGGTTACATATATTTGTTTGACCTCTGACAATGCAGCTGGAATCACTGTGGCGCAGATTTCTGCTTAGTCAAAGCTGCTGAGGAATGGAATAAGCTGCCTACCAAAGTGCCCTTGTCACAGGAGATAATCAAGACAGAGCTGGTGATCTGGGTGGGTTTTTTTTCTGGAGGTGGTTTATGATCGGGGCAGAGGAAAGCTGGACAAAAATCTCAGGCCCCTTCCATCTGAAAGTCTCTAACCCTGGATATTATCAAAGGCCCATCACTGGCTGAATTCCTCAGCGAACCAGTGATCTCAGGGAATAATGGTGATGGCATTTCTAAAATAGAGTATCACGTTTTCAACTAAAGTGTACTTATTTCTTCAAAATAAATCATCACAATGGCTGTTGTTTCTTGAGAACTTACTGTGAACCAGGTAATGTGCCAAACAATTTATATACTTTATCTCACATCATCTTTTGAATAACTCTTAAAAAATATTATTCCCATCTAAAAGATAAACTAAGGCTCAGAGAAGGTAAGTGACTTGCTCAAGGTTGCACAGCAAATAAAAGGGCAAAACTAGAGCTCAAGTCCAAGTCCAATTCCATCTGACTCCAAAGCCCATGCTCTTCACCCTCCTAACACCACGGGCATCTCTGCTCCCTGGGTGGCGGGGAGGAGGTCTTAAATATTACAGGCTAGATCAGCCTCTTCATCGAACAATTTTCAAAGTCCCAGAAACTGAAAACAAGAGCTTTTCAAAATCTTCTAGAGGATTAAAGATCCTTGCTTTTTAAGAAAAATTACCAGACTTTTGATGTATTCTTAGGGTGTGAGGAAGAGTCTGCCCCCCCCCCCAACTTCCTCATGAGAGTGGCACATCCTGAATCCTGCCTCAAGCCTCCTTTTACCTTGGCTTCTTCTTGCAGCTCGGAACTTTGACCTACAGAAATCAGAGGACATGGTCCGGAAGGTGAGGCCCTGCGCTCACCAGTATCCTGCCTCCCACACGTGTGCCCCCAGGGATTAGCGACAAAGGCTGGACACTCTTGCGCTGACCTGTTTTCGTGTTTCTTCTTCCTTTCTCCTTGGATCTCTTTCTGTGGCAGTCCCGGGTCTCCCACAGTCCTGCCCCTGGTGTCCGCATCCCCTGTTCTGTGTCGGTGGAACCTGGGGATGCTCTGGCAGGATCTTGGTGGCGGTGGGCAGAGGGGCCTGGCCTATGGTCCCCAGGTGCCCACAGGGCCTTTGGGGCAGGCAGTCCTCAGGTCCTGCCATGTCTCTGCAGCACATGGAGTTTCGCAAGCAGCAGGACCTGGACAACATCCTCTCGTGGCAGCCCTCGGAGGTGAGCCCCATGCAGCGTCCCCCAGGCCACTGGAGCCCCCCAACTCACCCACCATGTCCAGCCACCTGATGGAGCAGGGACATGGCCTGGTGGGCTGCTTTGAGCCAGGACCTGCCCCCGTGTCCAGGTGATCCAGCTGTATGACTCAGGTGGCCTGTGTGGCTATGACTACGAAGGCTGCCCCGTGTGGTTTGACATCATCGGGACCCTCGACCCCAAGGGCCTCCTCCTTTCAGCCACCAAGCAGGAGCTGATCCGGAAGCGCATCAGGGTGTGCGAGATGCTTTTGCAGCAGTGTGACCTGCAGAGTCAGAAGGTACAGGGCAGGGGATGCATGGTAACCCAGTCTCTCTAAAGGGTCATGACCAGGGAGGGAGGCACCCACCCCCACTTCTCCCCAGCCTTCAGCACTCCGGGCTCTGGTGGGATGTGGCTTCTCCTGCAGTCACCCATCCATGAGCGTCTGACACATTCCTGACACTCCCTGCTGGCGTGCGCCAAGGGATGCCAAAGCCCTTTCCCCTCTGACCCTGGTGAGATGCTGACTTGGGTGTGGTGAATGGATCCCTGGGAACAGTGGATGGTCAGATCTGCTTGTGGAAAAGATGTCCCTTGATTGTAAATTGCAGAAGTATAAACACCTGATGGGGGAGCCACTGCTTTGGGCATCCCTGAGAGCAGTGAGCCTTAAAAATGGGCTCATCCCTTGTGGGTCCTTAGGAGCCACTATGGCTTAGCTACAAAAAATAATTTGAGCCCTGTGGGGCCAGGGGCTTCCAAGCCAAGAAGGACCACACCCACCTTTGCAGATCTCCCAGCCCCTGTCTCTGTGTCTCTGGGCCTGTACCCTTGAGACTGACTCTAATGCCAAGTGTGGCCTGGTTGGTTTTGTGACTCTTAGTGTCTAAAGGAGCCTAAGGTGTCACTGTGGGAGAGTCTGGCTAACAGCTGAATCCACAGGGCCTGCGTCCCCAGTGTCTGGCCCAGAGCTGGACTCAAAACAGGCCCTCCACAGAGATTTGTGGCAGGCGTGAGAGAGTTACGTAGCACTTTATTGAGTGCCTGGTTTGAATACGTGTTTGTCTGTCAAGCAAGAGGGCTGACTTCATAGGGTCAAAACAGTGCCTTCTACTTTATAGACGTTCCCAGTTAGAGCCGATAGTTATGGTGATGACGACACTGATAATAATATCTGCTAAGATTTACTAGGCACTGGCCATGTACCAGACCTGGGCTCATTGAATCCTCACAGCAATTCTATCATTGCCTGGAATTAGCCCCTATTTTACAGAGGAAGAAAGTAAGGCTCAGAGGGGTTAAAAACCCACCCGAGGCCACACAGCCTGCCCGCGGCACAGCTCTGGCTTGGACACAGCCGTGGGACTGCAACACTGGCTGACACAGTAAACTATTGTACATAAAGATGCCCAACGAACTACAAATGATGTCTTTAATTCCACAGTGAACTGATTCCAGGCAACAGTACTGAGCAAACAGCGTGATAAGGGCCACCGTGCCAGGGCTTATGTGTGGCACCCCCTCAGATGGGCTGTCAGTTTGGAAAGCGCAGCTGGGGGTGGAGGTGGCAGGAAGGTAGGAGGGAGGGATGCCTGCATCTCTCTGGCCAGGATCTCCTGTCTGACCCATATACCTGCTCTGTCCTGTGCAGCTGGGCAGGAAGATTGAGATGGTGCTGATGGTGTTTGATTTGGAGGGGCTGAGCCTGAAACACCTGTGGAAGCCAGCTGTGGAGGTCTACCAGCAGGTAAGGTAGGCAGCTGGCTCGAGGTCGATAGGGAGCCGCTGACCATACTAGCTTTTGGTCCATGGAGGACGGGTCACCTCCTAGGGGCCCCCCAGAGCAGCCAGTGAAGCTCGCCTGGGGTCCACCTTCCTAGGAGAAGGAGGAGCAAGAACATCACTGAGGATGAAGCACATGCTCGTGGGGAAGATGGGACGGGATGGTGGGGGGTGGGGGACTCTTGTCTCAGCGGCATCAGAGGCCACAGAAATCCAGGGGTCGGGGTGTTGGAAGATGGCCTTGACCAGACTTGTCTTGACCTCACAGTTTTTTGCCATGCTGGAAGCAAATTATCCTGAGACGATGAAGAATTTAATTGTTGTTCGAGGTGAGCCCACGATGGGGATGACCGTCTGGGAAGGGAAGGGTAAGGAATCGGGGGAGGGAGCCAGTGGGTAAGCCACCAAAATTGGGTATTCTCAAACCATCCTTTGTGAAGAATAGGTTTTTGTTTGTTTGTTTAGTTCAGTCCCTCACAGACTGATACTTCTGGAATATACAAAACCATGCTCTGATACGTTGCAGCAATGTCAAATACATCGTGTTTCTAAATGTTTAGTGTTATTTTCTTTACCTATCTGGGTGTGGACTGGTAGCAGATAGTCCATGGGCCATACTTGGAGCAGGAACGGTCCCTGCGACCGCTGTATAGTGAGGGGGGTCACTGCATGTGCTCTGAGGTCAGATGATCTGACTTCTAATCAAGTCCACTGAGCAAATCCATTGAACCTCACTGAGACTCAGTTTTCCTATTCTGTAAAATGGGGATGCAGTGGCAGCTTCCCTATAAGATAGCTGTGAGGGTATATGAGACAGTCTGTGGGGAAAATGTAGCAAGAGCCTGGCCCACAGAAAGCAACCAGGAAGCTTGAGTGATTCAGGTGGGACACAGATGCTCCACCTACTTGCACCCAAGAGGATACCAAGGCAACATGGGCAAACCTTGAGCGTGGAAAGGAGGTACCATTGGGGAATCAACATTGCTGATGCCTTACAACGGGACAGGAAGGCAACCATTTATTGAGAGTGTTTAATTTAACCTCCATTTTATAGTTAAGAGCCCTAAGACTGAGAGAGGGTGAGGGACTAGCTGAAGGTCTCACAGTAGGAAATGGCAGAATCTAGGTCTGTCCAACCTCTGTCCACCCCATGCCCTTGGCTGTGACCCTGTATGTCCAAGTCCCCTCTGGTCCACCTTCTCAAGGGAGTTTCATGTGTTTCAGCCCCCAAGCTGTTCCCTGTGGCCTTCAACTTGGTCAAGTCGTTCATGAGTGAGGACACTCGAAGGAAGATAGTGATTCTAGGAGGTGAGTGCTTGTCCTCCAGGATGTGCCCGTCTCTGAATCTGCCTGGAAGCAGAGGTCAGTGCTAAAGGCCCCATTTCTCCCTGGCTCATCCTCTTTACCCAGACACTGACCTTGGCCTGACCCCTCTTGGCCTTTGCACACTCATTTGAGGCTTCAGGCCCTAGAGCACCACCTGGGTGGCCACATAAATCTCCTGGGTGTTCTCAGGAGTGGGTGCCCAGAGGAGCAAGCCAAGGACACATCAGATCCCCTCCCTGAGCCTGGCCTCACTGACCTCCATCGCGCCTCCCCACCCCTCTGTGGAGCCCACTTTTGCCCCCACAGGTGACTGGAAGCAAGAACTACCTAAGTTTATCAGCCCTGACCAGCTGCCCGTGGAGTTTGGGGGGACCATGACTGACCCAGATGGCAACCCCAAGTGCCTGACCAAGGTGCGGCTGCCCAGAGGATGGGGAGAGAGGGGAGATGGCCGTAGTCTGGTGCCCGCTCACACAGCCTCGCCCGCAGATCAACTACGGGGGCGAGGTGCCCAGGAGCTACTACCGGCACAACCAGCTGAGGCTGCAGTACGAGCACACAGTGACCGTGGGCCGCGGCTCCTCGCTGCAGGTGGAGAACGAGATCCTGTTCCCGGGCTGTGTGCTCCGGTAGGGACGGCGGCCACTCCACAGCTGGGCACAGTTGGGAGGGGTCCGGAGCCCAGGCAGGTGGTCGTCAGTGGGACCCTGTCCCCTGCAGGTGGCAGTTTGCATCAGATGGGGCGGACATCGGCTTCGGGATTTTCCTGAAGACCAAGATGGGGGCGCGGCAGCGGGCAGGGGAGATGACGGAGGTGCTGCCCAGCCAGCGCTACAACGCCCAGCAGGTGCCTGAGGACGGGAGCCTCACCTGCCTCCAGGCCGGCGTCTGTAAGAGCTATAGCGTTCACTGGAGTTGTTTTCCTCCTCATGACGGAGAAATGATTGGCTGTCTCTTATCAGTCTGGCCTCTCTGTTTGCCCCTATTTCCAGCTCTCAGGGAGGGTGTAGGGGTCTCTGCAAGATCCTAGATCCCAGGGGCGTTGGCTTTGGGTGTTGGTTCTGATGAGTGGCCCCCAGGTGTCGGGACAAGGACAGAGCCTCATTGTGGAGAGCAGGGTTCACAGCCTGCACCTGTGGGCTCAGCTCCTGGGAGGCCCTTGCACCCAACTTAACAGGCTAAGAGACAGCTGGAAAACAGCCATGGGCGTAGCATCAGGGGTCCCAGCCTGCCCACGTGTGTGGACTGCCCCACTCCGGGAAACCTGAAGAGTTGACTCTTCCAGGTGTTTGTCCTCCATCCCAGGCCAGATCCAGCGAGGAGAAGGGAACCCAAGGTTGATTTACTCTGGGGAAGGAGACTGAGTCTGGCTAATGGTGTAGTGCACACACACCTAGTTCACCTCGTGGAAAAGGGAGAATTAGAAGGGTGGAGACAGAGAAACCTGGATGACTTGTCATGTCCCAGAGTTCATGCTGGACCTTGGTGTGGAAGGACATGTACAAAAGGCATGATGAGAAGGTGGCTGTTGGAGCTCAGCCCTCTCCTCTGGGGAAAGCAGGGCTCCCCTCTGGGCCAGAGCATCCCAGCCCCTCTCCTCCCTTTCGCTGTCAGATCATTTCAACCTCTCTAGGCCTGTTTCCTCATCCATAAAATGGGGATGAGATTACCTCCCAGGCAGCCGCTTTGAGGATTCAGGGAGCTGTGGGTGCTGATGCAAGTGCCCATAGAAGCAGCTGATGCATGTTGGTGGTTATTATTCCTTTGTTTAGCACAAGCATCATCCAAGGAGACAGTCGTGAGCCGTGGGCAGGGGGCTGGGCAGTGCTGACTCTCCAGCCTCACCCGCAGTTCTGGGCACCCCATTCCCAAGGGCGCTGGGTGTGCGGATGTGCAGGGCCCACTTACTTCTCTGTCCTTACAGACGTCCTGCGCTTTGACAACACCTACAGCCTGATGCACGCCAAGAAGGTCAGCTACACTGTGGAGGTGCTGCTTCCTGACAAGGCCTCCGAGGAGAAGATTCAGGGTCTCGAGGCAAAGAGACGGTCCCCACTACAGTGAGGACCCTGGCCGCCTTGTGCCTGTGCTCTTCAGCCCCGTAGCTCCCCTGCCCCATCCCCTGCCCTCCAAGGCAGGATGGTGCTAGCGGTGACCTCAGAGAGCTACCCACCTCGCATCACCATCTCATCTCCTTGTGGGCTCACCTGGATTTGTGGCCAAGCAGGAAGGGGACCCCAGTACATAGGCCACCATGAGGATTCAGACAGGCATCTCATCCCTTGTTCGAAGAGAATGAGGATGAACCAGTGTCCACTGAGGAAGGAGCCCTCCTGCAGAGGCCACCCTTGCGTCCTGTCTGACAAGGTCCACCCATTCCAGGACTCACCCACACCTGGCATCCCAGTTTGGGGGTGTATGCATGAGCCCCAGGTCCTGCAGGGAGCACAGCCTCAGGCCTGAAGAGCAGGGATGTGCAGGGCCAGCTGGAAGCCACTGGGTGGAGGGATGGAGATGGGGCTGAGGGTCTAGGTTCTGATCAACCCTCCAGGGTTGTTCTTCCTTTGGAGGGAAAATCAGAAATGGAGAGCAAGACCCGGCAGGGACGGCCATCAGGAGGAAGAGCCACGCTCAGCCTTCCCAGTGTCCCCCACTCCCTCCCCACCTGCTGTGATCCAGCCAACATTTCACTTGGATTCCTTCCGGCTCTGAGTAGGGGCCAGGACCGAAGCAGAGCTGCAGGGAGGTGGAAGGACTGTGCTGAGGGTGCAGAGTGGAGCTGCCATCCCCAGGCATTCACCCTAGACTCTGACTTGCTTCTTGGAGAAGCATCACGCTCTTCCTCCATCTTTGTGTCTCACTAAGGGGACAGCTGGAGGTTGGCTGCCAACCCCCTGCCTCCCCCACCCCAAATGCAACTCAGCAGCTGGCCGGTGAAGGCTTCCACTTCTCAAAGCCTGGCTCTCCTGGTGCCCACAGCCCACAGTTAGCACCACTGTCAGAGCTGCTGGACGGACTGCACCCAGCAGGGCAGCCCATGCCTGAGGACTGAACCGAGGCCATCAACCTGGCTGTGACTCTGCAGTTGATTCCATGTGGCAGTGAAGCCATCGACAGGGCTGGGAGCCCAGGCTGTGCTGCTTTGCCCCCTGGGTGGCTTGGCCCTCAGCTCTGGATCCTTGCGCCTGCTCTCCTTAGGGTTTGTCTTGCTGTGAAAGGGACCTCCCTGTGAAAGGGGTCCTTGTTGCACAACATTAGCATCCGGGTCACCCAGGCCCTTCCCATGGACTGGAAGCCTCCACCAACACCACTGTCCGGGTGCTTTGCCAGCAAGAAGCCCAGCTCTGGCCCCTTTCCCACTCTCAAATTCTGTGCTTTCATTTTCTCCACCTAATAGGAAGTTTCTTGATTTCCTATTAAGGGGAAAACCTGATGAGGCTTGGGAAGGTGGGGTCTTCAGGTGAGCCAGGTGAGGTCCTGGGGCCCCAGCACTCCATCCGTGGCAGCTGCATCATTTATGGTGCAGCCCAGAGTCCACGCAGGGGCCCTGCTGCTACAAAAAGCAAACTAAATGAGACATTGCCAAAAGCCAGTGCCATGAGGCAATCCTGGTCCAACAGAGTGTTTGAATAGTTGGGCACAAAAAAAACTGCTGTGACAAGACCAAGGAGATGGCCAGGGCCGTCACGCAAAAATCACAGGACATCCCTGTGTCCAAGGGTTGCTCCTGCATCCCAGATGTGACAGGATCTCCCACAAGCCAGGTTGCACTGTGCAGCCAGCCTCTCTGGTGCAGCCTCCCGGATACAAGGCTGTTGGAGCCCCCTGACCCCCTGGATTCTCAGGGTCATCTTCCCAATGCCCGTGGCAGGCTACGGAGGGCATGGCTGACTGGGGCTGGGAGGACCCTATGCCAGACTGTTTCGCTGGGCCTGACTTTTGTCATGAAAGGGGCTCACAATGCCTTACTTCCACCTGCACACCCCACACCTAAAAACAAGGGGTTCATGGACTTGAACCGTGACCCTCGCCTTTCTAACCAGCCAGAGCTAACTTCCCACCATCAGGACTGCCTCACATTTCCTTGTAGGTAGCAGAGATCCCTCTGTCCCTTGCACATGGGTTTCCTGACGCTCTGATCAAAGAGAATTTACACAAATATGGCTGTGACACAGGGTTAGGTGCGAATCTCCACCCCAATCCAACTCATCTTCCGAGAGCCCACACTAGAGGGGACACCACTGTGGGACAGTCACGGCTTTGCCAGAGTTCCACAGCATGGAGGAGGAGAAGGATGTGGAGGTGGAGGAGGAGGTGGAGGAGGTGGAGGAGGAGGAGGAGGTGGAGGAGGAGGAGGAGG